TGCTAGTATGTATCAAGTGTCTGAGGCCGGATTTGAACTCAAGTCCTCCTGACTCCAAGGCCAGAGCTCTATCACTGTGCCACCTAGCTGCCCCCACTATTAACTTTTTTTTTTTTTTTTGGTGAGGCAATTGGGGTTAAGTGACTTGCCCAAGGTCACACAGCTAGTACGTGTCAAGTGTTTGGTCTGAGGCTGGATTTGAACTCAGGTCCTTCTGACTTCAGGGCCGGTGCTCTATCATCTGCGCCACCTAGCTGCCCCGCCACTAGTAACTTTTAAAAACTGTTGGAAAAACTGGAGAGGAGTTTGGCAGAAATTAGGTATAGACCAACACTTCACACCACATAACAAAATAAAGTCAAAATGGGTACATGATTTAGACATAAAGGGTGATACCATAAGCAAATTGGAGAGCATGGAATAATTTACCTGTCAGATCTATGGATAAAAGAAGAATTACCAAACAAAAGAGAGAGAGCACTATGGGATGTAAAATGGACTGGGATTTGGAGTTGGTATCAGAAGACCTGATTCTGAATCCAAGCTCTTCCATTTACTAGATGTGTAATTTTAGACCAGTTCCTTCCTCGCTTTGGGACTCAGTTACCTCATCTTTAAAATGGGGATAATAGTGCTTATAACATCCACCTCACAGGGCTGATGTGAGGATATAGCTTTGTAAAAAATCTCAAATGTTTTAAAAATGTTAGTGATCATTTAAATTTAGGCCATTAATAATAATAATGGTTCACATTCTTAAAGCATGTTAAGGATCACAAAGACTTTCCCCCAAAATAACCTTCTGACATAGGTAGTGCAAATATTATGGACTAGCTGCATTTTACTGTTGAGGAAACAGGCTTAGTGAGTTTAAGTGATGGTTCAATTTAATCCCAGGCACCCAACTTTCGGAAGGTTTTGTGCTTTTCTCATAAGAAAGGGTTTTCAGTTGAACGAGACTACAAATGGGGAGTTGGGTGTCTGGGAAGACAGAAAGTCTTAGCTCAGGGGTAGGGAACAAATCTTTAATAAAAGGATTTATTCTGTAAAGTTTGGATTCAGTCAAAGGGCTGCACTTGAGGACCTAGAGGGTCATATGTAGCCTTGAGGCTGCAGGTTCCCCACCCCTGGCTGGGCTGCCTAATGTGATTTTCTAAGTCCACACCTTCCCCAGACTGCATAGGGGTCCATCACAATGAAAGGGTTAAGAATTTCTACTCTAAACTCTGGCCAAACTGAACAGTTCTCTGGCCTCCACGAACATCCCTTGTACTTTTTTGCCCCCTTGGACTTCCTGGAGCACTAAGTTGGCACCTTTTAATGAATTTAGCATGTATCCTAGTTATCTGGGTATATGTCTGATCCCGTTGCTAAGAAGAGGCCATCCATTGTTTAAATTTTATCTGTCTACATATTGGTTACCCACTATAGCTACTTAATGTTTGGCTGAATTGGAGTTAAAAGGGAGCTTTTAATTTTTTTAAATCACTCTCATTTTTATATTTTTCATTTTATTCTCACGAGAGTAGTGTGAAATTACAATAACAATATCTGGTGTTTAAACCTTTTATCTTCTGCAATTCTACAAAGCACTCCCCTGTCCATTACCCTATTTGACCTTAGCAATACCTGCTAGACAAAGCAAGGATTATAATAATCATCTGACAGATGAGGAAGCTGAGTTACAGAGAGCTTCCCTAATATCCCCAAGCAAGTTAGTGGCAAAGCTGGTATCACTGGAAGTCACTTAACCTCAGTCTGCCTCAGTGTCCTCAACAGCACCTACCTCCCACGCTTGTTGTGAGAATCAAAATGAGAGAATATTTGCAAAAGGCACTTAGCATGCTGCCTGGCACATGGTAGGTGCCGTGTAAATGCTTATTCCCATCCGTCCCCTCTACTGGGACCAAGGTATCCACAGATCTTTCCCCTGGACCACCCTGCTCTGTGATGAACAGCAAACAATGATAAGAATAAGAATGCCTTATGTTTCTCTTTCTTTATCATTCATTTTTAAAATTTTGAGTTCCAAATTCTCTCCCTCACTCCAACCCCTCCCTCACCCATTGAGAAGGTAATATGATACCCATTGTCCACGTGAGGTCATGATGCTTACAGCTCCAGAGTATTTTATAATTATAAAGCATACCATGAACCTGAGTAAATTCCCTAGACATAAGACTTTGAGGCACAAGTGTGAATCCAGAAAAATTCCCTCTTACCAAAAGGTGGAGAAATGAATGAAAAAGCATTTACTGTGTACAGAGCACTCATGCTAAGCACTGCAGGGAGGAGGGTATAAATACAAAAACTATATTGTTCCTGCCTTCAAGGAGCCTACATCCTAATAGGGAGAGAAAGCATACACAGGAGAGTGGTGATCAAGAAGCAGTGTTTTAGTGTGGACAAAGAGAAGCTTTTGAATGAAGAAGGAGTGGTGATTGCTCAATCTACAATGGCCACTCCTACCCACTAGGACTTTCAGTAAGCTGGCAAGCTCCGGTAAGTGGCACCAGCTTTACCTCTGATTCAAGGGCAGGTGTTGGGCGGTATCAAATTCAGGAAATTCATTGTATTTAGAGTTGAAAGGACTTTAAGAGGTCATCAACATCTACTACAATCCTATGAATTTTCAGAGGAGGAAAAAAAATTATCTTTTCACAAAGATTTTAGAAACTTGGCCTCTTAATGGAAAACATATATGTGTATGTGTGTATATATGTACATAAATACACACACCCACATACATACACATACACAGATACATATACATATAAATAAGCATATACACAAATGCATATGTATGTAAAGGTAAATATATATGTTTAGATATATGTATCTGTGTGTACATATATATTTATGTGTGCATATATGTGTGTGTGTGTATACATATATATATACATACATACACACATATATATATATATATACATATCCCAGATTTTTTTACGTGAAATTTTGGAGAGCAATCTGGAATTATGCCCAAAGAGTTATGAAACTACCTATACACTTTGACTAAGCAATACCACTATGACATTTATGACTAGGGGGAAAAAAAGAACCTATATGTTCTAAAAAGGTTTATAGTAGCTCCCTTCTTGTGGCAAAGAAGGGAAATTGCAGGGATGCCCGTCAATTGGGGAATGGCTGAACAAGCTGTGGTACATGATTGTGATGGAATACTACTGTACTATAAGAAATGATGAGCTCAGTGATTTTAGAAAAACATGGAAAGACTTGGCACAAAATGATGAAGAGTGAAATGAGCAGAACCAAGAGTACATTGTACGGTAACAGTTATATTGTTTTAAGAATAACTTTGAATGAAAAAGTTATTTTGATTATTATAAATACCCAAATTAACTATAAAGGACATACGAAGAAAGATGCTAGAGCAGAGAAAGAACTGACAGATAGATGTATGCATGGAATGGTTTCACATATATATGTATATACATGTGTATATGTGTGTGTACATATATATACATACATATATATATTTGTCTAATGGTAGTCATCTCTAGGATGGGGGAGGGAAGAAAAAAGGAAAAAAGAAATTCGCATGAAAATTTTGTTATATATATTTAAAAGGAATAGAAAGCTGTACATACTAAATTTGCAGTTTCATATGTAATCATCTTTGTATTATAATATGTTATAGGAATGCTTATTTTATTCCACAAATTAAAAATAAAATAATTTTTTTTTGCTTTTTGGTGAGGCAATCGGGATTAAGTGACTTGCCCAGGGTCACACAACAAGTAAGTGTCAAGTGTCTGAGGTAGGATTTGAACTCAACTCCTCCTGAATCCAGGGCCAGTGCTCCATCCACTGTACCACCTAGCTACCCCCATAAATTTTTAAAAATCATCATTTGTATTTAGCTTCAAGTCTTGAAAGTTATCTACATACCTTATAGAAGACCAATGGAAGTTTTGACTTGGTTTTTCTGGATGCCTTGAACTTATAATCAGGTAGCTGATTCTGTAAAAATTTCAAAGGAGACGTTAGTGTAGAGGTGTCTAAATGGGTGCCTGAACACAAATATTAGACCCAAGAATTTTATGTAGTTTCTACCAAAGTCTCCAAACCCTTCTCATGAATACTGTCCATCACTTCATGGCCTCATTCCTCCAGTTCTGTGAATCTGCTCTTGGTGGTACTTATATCAAAGATTGTCTCAAGAAATCCTATCTAACCCTATCCCTCTGTGGGCTCAACTGAGTCAGGAGAGGGCACTGATATGCCTCAACAGTGTATCAGTGCTGAAAAGTCATGAGGCAACATAAGCAACCATAGTAGATAGACCCAGGTTTGGAAAAAGTGGGCTGAGTTAGAGTATCAGCTCTTCTGGTACTGCTTGCCTCTGTTACAGCAACCATTCTTCTGTCTTCCGGGTTTCTATGTGCTTGGGAATCTTTGTTCTTGCATCATAGTGCTCTAAAAACAACCTAATACCAATTCATTCTGGCTTTGAGGTTAATCTTCTAATTCAGACATTATCCCCTCTATACCTATGTAAGGACTGTCCTTTCACTATCCTTTCCTAATAACAGGCATGGGTCATCCCTGGTGTAGGTAAGAGATAATAAAACCCGAATACTTGCAAGATGACCTCTAGTGGAGGTCAAAGAACAAACAAACAAAAATGAAAATGAAGCCGCTAACCCAATGTGTCCAAAGTCATGCCTTGACTGAACACAGAGTTTTTCCATGGAAGGTACGTGATTTGGGGACATTACCTGTAGGCCCTCAGCTATCAAGTAGGGATCACAAATTGGAAAGAACAGCCTACACTTCTGAATAAACCACCACCAATGCAGGTTAAGAGGGCTGTGTGGATGAAACCAGGATTCTGCCCCAGCTGGAAGTCTATGAGACTATCTCACTGTCACAGGAATGAGTACAGTAATAGGCACCTGAGTTGAGATGGGGTCCTACATGGATTCTGAATGTTATTGTTCCCAGAAAGAGTAGATGGAAATCATGAGGAAATAATTAGGGACAAGACATAGGAAGAGATCTCTAGCTAGACACAAGCCATCTCAGAACCCATCCTGAAATCTTGCATAGTCTTTGTATGTCAGGATGCTTAAAGGGAATCAAAGCAATTCTAGGATTTGCCAGACTCCTAAAGACATATAGTCTTTCCCCAAATCCTGGTTCCTAATGATTGATTTGTTCATGTGATGATGAAAATCTGAGGCCTGGCACCCTGTGTGAGTTTCTACACTAAGATGAATTTATTTCCTGTATCTTTTGCCACCTTGGGGCTTTGCCACACCCTGACAGAAGATGGGAGTCTCCAAAGGGAACTGCTTGGCACGGTCCCAGATACTGCAGGACCATCAATCCACAGCAGGAAGATTCATGCTGTAGGACTTAGCCTTCAGGCTTGTGTATGGTGGCTTTCTCACCTCTACTCAACAGCTGGGCCTGCAGGGGAGCCGCCTCTCTTATCCAGATGAAACCACAATGTGGCTGCTTTGAGGGGCTTCTCTTTGCTGCTTATTTGTGTCCCAGCTGCTGAAAGAGTCGTTTGCGAGGATCAGGCATGGGGTCCATTCAGTGGAGGCAATCTGTCTCTGCTTGCAGTGACTGGCCTGACTCAGTTTGGGTGTTTCTGCCTGAGGCAGAGGTCTGGGCACTGGTTGGGGTAGGGGAGGGGGCTGGGAGGGGGGAGAGAATGTGTTTCTTCCTTTGTGTCCTGGAGAGGGTGTGTGTCCATAGTCTATGTAAGATTGTGAGGGCATCCATTAATAGGGACAACAGCTAATGGAAAAAGCTATCTCCCAGCGGTACTCTGGGTAGATTTATGCTTAGAATGTGGTTCTGACACCCCACCAAGTCTAACCAGGAAAGAGAAAGTACAAAGTCAAAATGGGATCATGATTTAGATATACAGGCTGATACCATAAGCAAACTGGGAGAGCAAG